CCTCCGCTGATAAGAGTACGCCCAATCCCAACGAAAACTATGCGTTTGTTGCATGCAACAACGGTGGCAACGACTGGTTCGAAATTCGAATTAGAAGAAGCAATGTCAAAGCTGCTAAGTCCATGATATCTTGAGATCCAGACGGACGCAATGAATCCAGAGTGAAAACAACGAATCATAACCATTACATTCAAAATTCCACAAGATTGACAACATCAATCGTTCACTCACCTACCCCACAATTATCCTAAGCCAAGCCGTCCGAACAAGTGCAACGCCACTGGCATCGAAAGTCCGAACCGTTGGAAGACATCGTAACATATGCATATCAATCCTTATGTATATATATATATATAAATCTATAACAGCTAACGTGCGTTTCAAAACATACAAGTGTTTGTCTCAAACTTGCCAAACGAATGTTGTATCGATATGAGCAATCTTCAAGAGCCTTGTTATTCCATTATAGTAATGAGTTAAAAAATATTATAAACCCCACTATGTCGTAAACCAAGTTCTGTTATTCCATCAAGGTGACCAAGTACTAAATATTATAATCCACTCTAGGTCGGAAACAATGTAATGTTATTCTCTTATATGGATCAGTTCATAGTAATTGTAACTCCCTATTACGTCGGAAAATATGGTATGTCATTCCATAATAGAAATCACTTACTAAATACTATAATACCAGTACATCGGCAACAATTTAATGCGTGCCAGGCCCCTGAGTCGCGAACCTGCAGCGGAGAGAAGCCAAAGCAAGAGAACACATATGTTCCCATCATTTCACATCTATATAATACATATGGTATTATTAATATTATGATATAAACGGATCGAAAACCTATGCTGCAATGCAACACCCCACCCCATATGCAACGTAGCAACATGTAACGTGGCAAGCATTCCAGAGCTCTCGGCACCGTAGCAACATGTAACGTAGCAAGGATACCACAGGAGATCTCTGCAAGCATTCCAGAGATCTCTGCAGCGTAGCAACATGTAACGTGGCAAGCATTCCAGAGCTCTCGGCAGCGTAGCAACATGTAACGTGGCAAGCATTCCAGAGATCTCGAGATCTCGGCAGCGTAGCAACATGTAACGTGGCAAGCATTCCAGAGATCTCGGCAGCGTAGCAACATGTAACGTAGCAAGGATACCACAGGAGATCTCTGCAAGCATTCCAGAGATCTCTGCAGCGTAGCAACATGTAACGTGGCAAGCATTCCAGAGCTCTCGGCAGCGTAGCAACATGTAACGTGGCAAGGATACCACAGGAGATCTCTGCAAGCATTCCAGAGATCTCGGCAGCGTAGCAACATGTAACGCGGCAAGCATTCCAGAGATCTCGGCAGCGTAGCAACATGTAACGTAGCAAGGATACCACAGGAGATCTCTGCAAGCATTCCAGAGCTCTCAGCACCGTAGCAACATGTAACGTGGCAAGCATTCCAGAGATCTCGGGAGCGTAGAAATATGTACTGTACGCACTAGACAGAACGTTAACATCCCCACCCCACCCCACCCCCCCCACCCCACCCCAACATAATCCCCACGTCCCATTAGCAAAAATGTGCGTTTTATGAGCACGGTTTTCGATCCGTAGGCAAAAATAACAACCCTCGTGGAGGCGGCGAGTCAGCCGCCCACCAAAAACAACAACACAAAACAAAACAGAAATTAAAAAACACAACAAGCAAGAGATCATGTCCCGCCTCAGAAGACATCTTCCTCGACCTGAGAAAACACAACGTAAACTACACTCGCACATCAGGCACAAGATCGAAACAAAGAAACGCACATCAAAAAAAAATGACTGCTAGAACTTCAGAGGCAATCGACAACTGCTCGAGAAACGAAAACATCAGAAGCAAAAGCACCAAAAAAAACACTCTGCTGAGGCCACTGCGAAGTGCGGGGCAAAGAATAGATCCAAAAACACCCTTTAAAAGCGCTTGAAGAAACACACTGCGGACAAGCAACACACAATCTGCCTTGGTAACCCTTTCTGCAAACAACTTGGTAACACCCTCTCTCTACCGACATCCCCTTTGGTGGAAAAATTAAAACGACCCTGTCTTCACCCCTTTTCGTGAAACACAGACTTAGAAGAAAAAAACATTTGTCCTTAACCGGTGGTCCAATTTTGTTGTTCCCTAAACTTACAAGTGAGAAACACAAGTCAACCGTTAACACCTGTCCCCACTCCGTCCTACACCCGAGGCCCGAGGCCCTTCGCACTCCAGCACTGTTTTTCAAAGGCGTCGGACGCCGAGTAATGGAAAATGCCCCGCTTATGGGGGGGTTGTTCAATCGGTCCCCCACTGATCTAAAAAATCCCCTCTTATGGGGGGTGACATGCAATCTTGTTTGAGCTCAGCTATGGGCGGAGCAAGCCTCCACCCTCATAGCTGAGCTCAAACAAGAAACTCCGTCCGGCAGTTGCAGCTGCCCACGCAGCAGCTGCAACTGTGCCGGAATTCAGCGCCACTAAACGGAAGCTGGACCTGCCACCTGCGCCCCTCGCGCAGGTGGAGGCGAAGAACATCCTCCGCTGCAGCATAGGCCCAGGCCCCAAGCCGCGTCTCGGCGCGAAAATTCACCCAAGATGCTCGCTCCTCCAGCCAGGTTGAACCATACCACGTGGCAACTCTGACCTCAGAATAGCTATACTTTCAAAAATCAGTAATCCAAAAGAACCCCCGCAAAAAAAGTACCAATCTTATGGAAACATTATCAGCACCAATCATTATGCATAGTAACGTCTTGGAATCGAAATGCTTACAACTGGATGCAGGGATGATCCATACATATCCCCTTGTAACAAAAAGAAAAGACCCAACCAAAACAAAACCATACAAAAAAGCATCATCAAAAACGCCAAGGCACAGCATCATGCGGCAGGTTAAAAAAACCTAGCCTGGCTAGGAACCAAAAGGGCCCCTGAAGTCTACGATGCCCGAGAGCAACCTCAAACAGGGTTGACGTCACAACCAGAAGAAAAACATTTTCTGAAACTAACTTTAAAGCTGCGTCCTGTAAACAACAACTTTAAAAAAAGACTTCTCGACCCCTTTAAAGTTCACCCTGGCCTGCAGCATCCAGAGGGCCCTCGGCTCCAGCATTTGCAGCAATGAAATGCTGCTGGACACGACAAGGGCAAAGGTGTTCATACTGAGAACAAAGAGAAAAAAACGGGGCGAGGGCGGGAACAAACGAATTAGCCAAAAGCTGCGATGTGCTTCATGTGGTGTCATGCCGTGAACCCGCTGGATTGGACCAAACCCCGGAAGCTGGAAGAAACACAAAGGGTAACATTACAAAGCCCTTTGAATCCATTATTTTCGGAGGATACCACCCACCCCCGTTAAACTTCTACATTCATTGAACATCTTCAATAAAGGTTTAATTCTCCCACCCCCTTATAATTTCTACATTCATTGAAGATCTTCAATAAGGGTTTAATTCTCCCATTCTCCCACCCCCGTTAAACTTCTACATTCATTGAAGATCTTCAATAAGGGTTTAATTCTCCCACCCCCGTTAAACTGCTACATTCATTGAAGATCTTCAATAAAGGTTTAATTCTCCCACCCCCGTTAAAGTTCTATATTCATTGGAGATCTTCAATAAGGGTTTAATTCTCCCACCCCCGTTAAAGTTCTATATTCATTGGAGATCTTCAATAAGGGTTTAATTCTCCCATTCTCCCACCCCCGTTAAACTTCTACATTCATTGAAGATCTTCAATAAGGGTTTAATTCTCCCACCCCCGTTAAACTTCTACGTTCATTGAAGATCTTCAATAAGGGTTTAATTCTCCCATTCTCCCACCCCCGTTAAACTTCTACATTCATTGAAGATCTTCAATAAGGGTTTAATTCTGCTGATGGTGATGATGATGATGATGATGGTGATGATGATGCGTCGCCTGTCGTCATTGCGGGTCCGGGCAAAGCCCAGGCATTTGCCATACATATACATATATGCATAGGTACAGTATATATATAATATATTCCCAGCATTCAAATGCAAGTAGTTTAAATCACATCAAGTACAAATAAATCGTAGACTGCATTATATATGTATATCCATATCATGTTTAACATGCATGAAATCTACAAATATGTGCATACCAGCAAACAAAAACAAGCAACCATACAACCACATAAATAAAGAAATAAATAACTAAACAACATAAATAAATAAACATATATACATGATACAACCAAGCATCCTATCTTTTCACAGTGTAATGTTGCTTGGTTTGGGGGAAAGGGGTATGTCAAATATTTATCTACATATCTATCTACCTATCAACCTATCCATCTATCTACCTATCTACCTCTCTACCATGTACCTATCTATTCATCTATCTATTTATCTATGTAAAAGGGACCACAATAGACATTAACTACTATAAATAAAACAAACACATTCAGCACAGAATACATTGAAATACTGAGTCTGGAAAGCACAACATGCCTTCAGGTAAACACTGTTGACCATACTACTTCAATACACAATATCGCATTCAAAAAGTATAGTATAGGGATTCTTTCAAGAAGATGCACTGTTCCTTTCAGGTAAGGAAGTTTGGTTTTGTTTTATTTGTCTCCTTAAGCCACCATTAAACCCCCACTTGGTCATTAAAGATTCCATATCTATTCCGTCTATTGCCTTGAAAACCACATTAAAATTTGTCCAACTTCATCTTAATCCCCAATAAATCATTATTTTGATCTCTTTTGCACCCCATTAAACCATATTAAATCCAAGTAAATCGTATTAAACCCCATGAAATCCAAACCTAATTAAATCCACCAAAACACCTTAAATCTCAATAAAATTCTATTCAACCCCATTAGTTCATACTTAAATTTGATAAATCACATGAATTAAACCCCATTAAAATCCCATTGAAATCCTACAAAAAAAACGCCGAACATCAAACATCCTTTTTTTTTCTGCGATCCAACCCCCCGTGGCCAAGGTACACGGCGATGGCCCCGCAAACAAAGCAACTCTTGGCCCGAGCAAATGTCCCAGAGCCGCGCCGTGGCGTCGCCTGGGGTGGGGATATTCAGATCTCTGATCGATTTCTGATAGAACTGTGATCCGTAATGGAAAGGTAAAAAGATTTATAATGGATGTCAGCCTGCAATATCTGTAGTAGATATACTAGGTAAACTTCTTTTAACAGATCTCTAATTTAATGTACATTATATACTTGAAATGTATGAAGATCTCCAACATCTCCAGAATTAATAGATATCAAGTGCCGAAATTGTTCATATATGTATACAAAATTCAAAGCCAAAAATAATATGCTGTAGACTGCATATACGTCTGATTATTGTGGCTCTCTCTTGATAGCCATAGGGGGTTCAGGATTTAATCTATATATATATATAATACATATAATCTACATATAATCTACATATAACCTACATATAATCTACATATAACCTACATATAACCTACATATAATCTACATATAATCTACATATAATCTACATATAATCTACATGTAATCTACATATAATCTACATATAACATCATGATAAAGAGTTGCATAATATGAATCAATATACCCTCTCCGATTCAGAGGCCCACCAGGACTTTCCGCTCATGGACTTTCCAATCCCAAGGCCTGATGCAGAGAACAGGCTGGAGGAGACTGGACAGAAACGGATGGGGTAGACTTGTCCCTGGTGGCCCTGCAAGTTGAACTCCACATCCAAGGGCTCTCTTTGCCACAGGATCACCTGCACGGCTAGGGTAGCATGCTGATCCTGTGTTGAAAGGGAAAACAACCGTGAAGCCTTGACTGTTTAATTTGTTTAATTATCATATAATATCAATTGCGACGAGGCCGTTCGAAATTACATTCTGATAGAGTATTCTAGAGTCTCTTGGACGCCAAATCGTCCTCAAGTAAAACAACTTGGACTTCAACTCTCTGAGATCAAATTGCCATGTATATCAGACTTTCACCGAACCAAAATGGCCAAAATGGTTAAATGTGACAAATCGCCTAACATGTCAGTTGAACAGTTCATGTGTTTAAAACCCTTGCTGATTGATGATTTGTTCTGGGATCATGATATCATTCCATTCGTTGGGGATCATCGCTAGATACAAAAGCGGAACGCACCTTGTGCATCTACAGGGTTTTGTCTGAACGGCTACCTTAAAAAAACCCATCCTGGTTGGTTTATCATAATTCTCCCATTTCAAGGCTTTGATTTGCCATTTTAGGCAACTAAAGCCTCATATCTGGACGAAGCCCGATACCATATTCTTGGCTATTTATATCCTATTAATTAATAATTATCCCACATCCGCATATCACTGATTCTTTTGATGATTCTGTTTTTATACCCCCATTCTGGTAAGCTCCCTTTGCTTTGAGCTCTCCCATCATGTGCAACCATTCTAACCCATTACATAAGATGCCCTGAAAGGTGGCGTCCCCCGAAGTAGCTAAGTTCAATCCATAGTTGCCATGGGCTTGGTAAACCGACCCACATCACTATTAATTATTAAACACGCCTATGTTTCAACCCCGTTTACCCCCATGAAAAACATAATTAAACCACATATCACCATCATTCAACCCACCATTTCGGCTTTCTCCGTCCCCCGGCCCCCTACGGGACCCAGCCCGACCTGCCCATCCGCCCCGGCGGTCCCCAGGAACTTGCCATCCGGCGACACCGCCGCACTGTGCAACTCGGCGCCGTGGTGAAACCCGTGGACCTGCACGGGAGGCCAACAGGACAAAAGTTGCATAGATAGATAGATGGATAGATAGATAGATAGCTAGGTAGATAGATAGATAGAAGGATGGATAGATGGATAGATAGATAGAGAGATAGATAGATAGATAGATAGATGGATGGATGGATAGATGGATAGATAGATAGATAGATGGATGGATAGATGGATAGATAGATAGATAGATAGGTAGATAGATAGATGGAAGGATGGATAGAAAGATGAATATATAGATAGATAGGTAGATAGATAGATAGATAGATGGATGGATGGATAGATGGATCGATAGATAGATAGATAGATAGGTAGATAGATAGATAGATGGATGGATGGATGGATAGATAGATGAATAGATAGATAGATAGGTAGATAGATAGATATATAGACAGATAGATAGATAGAAAAGATAAGATACGATAAGATAGATAGGTGGATAGGTGGATAGGTAGATAGGTAGATAGATATACTCTATATATATATATATAATATACAAATGTGAAAGGGTCCAAAACTCCACCACTAGATTGGGAATATGTTTTAAAGTCCCATATTCTATCTATTTCAGTATCATGCTGCTTTCACCAACCAAGAGTAGTGCGGAAATCACCGACACATATGGGGATTCATTGACGATATTCTATAACCAACTAATTGGTGGTTTCCACCCAACTGAGAAACAATATACTCGTCATTGCAGATTGTCATCTCATTTCTATGGTTTGAAACCACCAACCACTGAAGAATGGCGGAGCCAGCTGGCCAGATGAGACATGAAAAAGTGCACGCCGTTGTGGCGCGAAGCACATTTCCAAGCCAAAATGGACAAAACACTAGAGGAGCGGACCACTTTTGGCAGTTGCGATGTCGAAAAACTGCACGCCGTTGTGGCGCGAAGCAGATTTCCAAGTGAAAATGTACAAAACACACCACGTTCGGACCACTTTTGGAAGTTGAGATGTCGAAAAAGTGCACGCCGTTATGGCGCGAAGCACATTTCCAAGTCAAAATGTACAACACACACCAATGTCGGACCACTTTTGGAAGTTGAGATGTCTAAAAAGTGCACGCCGTTGTGGCGCGAAGCAGATTTCCAAGTGAAAATGTACAAAGCACACCATTCTCGGACCACTTTTGGAAGTTTCAAAGTCGAGTTTCGAAAAAGTCCACGCCGTTGTGGCGCGAAGCACATTTCCAAGTGAAAATGTACAAAGCACACCATTCTCGGACCACTTTTGGAAGTTGAGACGTCGAGTTTCGAAAAAGTGCACGCCGCTGTGGCGCGAAGCAGATTTCAAAGTCAAAATGTCCAAAACGCACCATGTTCGGACCACTTTTGGAGGCTGAGATGTCGAGTTGCGAAAAAGTGCACGCCGTTGTGGCGCGAAGCACAGTTCCAAGTCAACATGTTAAAAACACTAGGGTTTCTGACTACTTTCGGAGGTTCAGATGTCGCTTCGCTTCGCTTCACTTCAGTTCACTACACTACACTACATGACACGACACTACACTTCGAGCGGTTGCGATGTTCTTCCGTGCGGCCGGGACCTGCTCAGCAGATAGATAGATGGATAGAGAGATAGATAGATAGATGGATGGATGGATAGATAGATAGATAGATAGATCGATCGATAGATAGATAGAGATATTTTTTACCCCTAAAGCATGTAATCCTAAGATCTATTTAGTCGGTTGCCGGCTAATGTCGTGGCCAGATCGAGAGATAAATCGAAAGATGGGTGGCTAGATAGAGAAAAAGATCGACAATAGACAGGTAGATGGAACGACCGATGGACACACGGATCGCTAGATCGAAAGATCGCTAGACACGTCCATGTCCAGATAAACTCATGGATAGCTGGATAGATCGATGGATGGCTGGAAGAACAGAGAGACGGACAGATGCATGGATGAATCGATAAACACACAGAACGTGTTGTGAGAGCTAAACCGTCTTAAGTGAAGATGGACACTCTCATGACTAAAAACCAAGCATCTACACATCATTCATAGGATGAGAGTCGTAGCATCACAATACCAACATATTGAACATATTGATGAATCCACCATGAAAGGACAACCGATATTCTCTCATCCAATGGACATGTTCCTACCATAAGCGTCGATACAGGATTAGAAAGACAGCTAGCATGCAATGGTATAACCCAAGGTTACGATCGTACAGAAAAACATGAAGAAATGTTGCCCATCCCTCCGACGTGTCTGCCTCGCGGTGTCGCGGCAGCTTGGTCCTAGCAACAGCGGACAGGAATCGTCGGCTGCCGCTGTGCTGGCGTGCGCCATCGTGCCGTCAGAAGAAAACACACAACCACCTTTCAATCCATCAGTGGGTTCGCTCTGCCATTTTTGCGCCACAGCAACACTCTTCTCCTATAGGTTTCCTATTTTTGAAACTTCCGCCACCGCCTTGTGCGGTACTACTGGTATTTGCGTGTGTCTGGAAATGGGGTACTGTATACACTCTGTATACCGATACCTCAAAAGGACAATTTTAATCATCCAAGCGAGCTTGGAATAGGCCCACCAAATGGTAGCTTAAACCATGGGGAAATTTTGAGCATTCAGGAAACACAAGTGCCCTTGCAGGCCTTTGTCGGGCCTTCCAAGTCCCAAATGCTTCCAGTACCATCGACTGCTCCTGTGTGAGGAAAAACCGCAGGAAGAGCCCCAGCGAGCGTTGCTGATTGTGGCAAACGAACATGGAATGCTCTCGACCAACCAAAAAACTGTGACATGTTCATCGTTTCCACGCTTGAACCACAATAACCATCCAATTCTTGGGGAAAATCATCCGCACAGCTTCCAGGGTGACCCATCTCACACTGCAGGCATCATCTCCCACCAGGTCAGGGTCTCGAGATTTTCTCCTTCTCTCCTCAAATATTATATAGCTACCCTCTGGTTATTTAACATAGCCATGGAAAATGGCCCATTGATAGATGATTTTCCCATTAAAAAATAACATTTATATAAAAGGGATTTTCCATGGCTATGTTAAATAACCAGAGGGTAAATGTTCAAACCTAGCATGACACATGCAATGTCCCAAAAATCATGATTTGTTTGGGAAAAAAAACGAATACACTCTTGTAGGCGATGGAAAAACTCCCATTTATAATTTATAGATCATGTTCCCATGAAATGCGGTAAAACCATGAAAAACATCTATTTCTGGTGGAATTCCCAGCCACGTAGTTTTTGTGTATCCTTTTTAGCAGGACGGCAAGCCATGTCCCAGGGTCCCACTCCTGCCAGAAGTTGCTGCGAGTTGCAAATGATCACCTGGATTTCAGCACCAGTCCTTCCGAAACCATGGAGGATAGGCTGGATACAAAAAGCTTGGCCCCAACAAAACAAGGCTAAGAAAAACAACACTTTGCAGTTGAAACATATATATATATATATGTATATGGTATATGTCTTGAATATATATATATATATATGAAGAATTGTCGTATGAAGTTATGATGTTACTAATCATATGAGTGATTCCGTAAAGGTTAAAACCACATGATTGTTGGAAATACATAGTTTCTCGAGTTGTTATGGATTAAATCACATCAAATCTATTCAAATATCCCCATTCGATTACAGATCCTGGTTCACCAAAGAATGGTGATATGAGCCAACAACAAAAATATGTTTTATAAATCACCCATATAAGTTGGTGGATTATACCTACCTTCTATGGAACTTAAATTAGGGGATGGTGGATCCTATTGCTGTCCCAGCATTATCCCAAATCCAGTGATCAATCATTCAATCATCAAAATTCCCGTTCGATGGCTATTTTGAGAGTGTGCTTCATCTCTTGTATTCAAATTCCGCATCTCATATCGGTGGTTAGTTGATTTACATATATATATATATACAATTTGATTTCCACTACATGAAGCTTTCCTAAAGTATGGATACCCAAAACCATTCATGTCCCATGAATAATAACCAATAACTTGGATGATTTTGATGTAATGTGGGTAAAACAATTACACTAACTACAGTATTTATGGTGATTTGGGGGATGGTTGATTGTTGTTTCACCCAGATTACCCCCATTTTAGGAAACCCGCATATCCCGAAGTCCCCATCTGCAGCATCTCCTGAGCCCCGCGTCCACCAGGGTCGCTCCGTTCAGCGGCAGCCCGTCGTGGAAGAGCTTCACCTAGCGGCCAAAGTCAAGCGACATGGCATGGATCATGGGTCTATATATATAATTTTATCGTAGATCATGTTTTGTATATCTATACATCTATATGTATGTATGTATGTATGGATGTATGGATGTATGGATGTATGGATGTATGTATTTATGTATGTATGGATGTATGGATGTATGGATGTATGGATGTATGTATGTATGTATGTATGTATGTATGGATGTATGGATGTATGGATGTATGGATGTATGTATGTATGTATGTATGGATGTATGGATGTATGGATGTATGGATGTAGGTATGTACGTATATAAATATATATATATATATATATACATAATATGTATAATATGATATGTATATGCATGTATATAAATATATATGTATATATATATATTATGTCATATCATCTACTATATATAGAATGATAATGATTCATAATACAGTATTATATACCTAAATCAAAAAATGAGTCGTTACTGTATTCTAAATTCTAAATGATCTGGTATATATATATATATATAAGGTGGATATTATTTGAATAATCATGTTTCAAAATAATCTGGGGATAATCATGGTTGGGATCACTTGGGATCCAATCATGGCTTTGCCCAATTTCTATGTGAGGTGTTAACTTAGGGCAATCAAATATCATATAGATGGGGATATTTGACATAGTTATGCATCATCCATTAAAAATACGGGTCTGAAAGGGAAATGGTTGGAATTCTTCAACTGGAAACACACCGTTATTAGACATATATCATGTGGTAAACCCCCCCCTCAAAAAAAACTAGAATTTGGGGATGGTTGTACAACCCATAAAATGAACAGTGTGATTTTAGGGATGGTTTATGGCTCGGGGTTTACCACATTAGTTGTGATTCCCCGTAGCATCATCCAATACATGACATGTATCTAGTATGGGCAAGGATCTCAGCGGCTTCGACAGCCCAAAAAGGAACTGCAGTCCCTCGGGATAGTTTGACATTTCATGGTTTGGAGGATCCCAAACTTTAAGAAACATCCAGGAATCCAACTTTCTGGACAACCCCCCAAAAAATTCTGGTTTCTCTTGACTTGATGTATTCTGATCTAGACATCTAAAAACCGCGGATGCAAATTTCATATGTATAGATTTGTCAAATGGATCAAACACATCAAAAGCCAAGTTTTCCTACTGGGTTTGTTTCAAATCGAAGGACACAGCACAGCAAAACCATAATTTCTATGGGGAAAAATGCGCTGAAATAAAATCATTAAACACCAAGTTGTTTGAATTAATTGTCCTCAAAAATCCTTGATCTCTATGTAGCTCCAGAGATCATCTCCGCATCCAAGTTCATTTGTATCAACATGCAAACTACATCATTTATACTTCATGCTATATCAAATGATTATCATTGAACTTTAAACATCTAACACCACATCCCAAGCAAATAAATAAATAAATGAATAAATAAATAAATAAAGATATATATATATATGTATCTATATCTATATATATATAGATGCTAATCCAGCAAAATCCGTGAAAACATCATCCATAGATACCCGTGGCTCCAGACTTCCAACGATATGTCCCATGATATCCCTCCCGTATTCATGGAACACATTCTTTTGCAGATAATATTTGTCCTCAAACCCCTGAAATCCATCATTTGACAATTAAAATCAATCCATCTTCCCCAAATAGTTGATTTATAGTTGATTTACCCATTAACATGGGTGATAAATTCAAATTTTACATACAGCTTGAGTATTGTACAAGAATTCACTGTATAAGAATTTGAAGGGCTCGATTCCAAGGCGGGCTACATATTTTCAGCTATGCCAAACACATAGTACGTTAAGAATTTGAGGGACCCTGGAATAGGACTGCCAAATTCTTAAATTATTGCTTATACGTGAAGTTTGAAATTCTCCTTTTTTGCGTTTATTTTTTTAGGCGTGAGCCCTTGTACTGGAGACCAAGGCGTTCTTTTTTGCGCACTAACCGCACGAAACTCAGACAAGCCTGGCTTAGCAGAAAAAAGCTTTTTTTTCCTCCAGAATCTACAAAATCATATTTTCGCATGCCCCTTGTCAAATCTGCTTGGCAAGCGCATTGAAAGAATAGAATAGAAAATACCAAATAGTAAAACGAATGCCAAGCATGACCACGAGCGTGGCTTGCTACACGGACTGTGTGATGACTCGCTTCCTTCAAGCAAAAAAAACGCCAAGCCCAAGCCTGTAAAGGGCGCACCGGGAGAGAATCGAGCCTTGGCGCGGCTGCGGCGCCCGGGCGCTGAACTTTAGTCTGCTGGATAAACCGCCGAGCCGCCGCCGCCGGGGTTGCCTGGCGGTCCCGACCCTTTAGGGCCTCTCCAGTGGGCGCTGGGACTGCTCTGCCCAGCGAAACCCGGCTCAAAAAGCAAAAACGCGCGTAGATCGTCGATCTACGCGCGTTTTTGCGTTTTCCCGGGCGTGACGGGTGTCATCTTGCGTCTGCGCGGCGGCCCCGCGGCAAGCAACCAAGGCCGGGAAAAAGCGTAGCCGGAACAGCTATGCCGGATTCCGGCCACGACAGAGCCCAGCGCGGCCAAAACCCTGGTTTAAGCAACGCAAAATCGTGCTGTAGCTCGATTTTGAAGTCATTTTTTCGCATGAATAGTCAAATCTGCCAACTCCACCTCGTTACCTTGTTTAATCTTGCTCCAAATTGTGCAGATGCTTGCGATACAATACTAAGAATGCCTTAAGAATTTGAGGGACCCTCGGCCTGTTGTAGTGTAATTTGCCTGTATTTAGAAATAAGAATTTGAGGGGCCCTGGACCTCAAGCTTTCGGATTCTTCACCAGCGCTCGGGCTGTAGCTCTCTTAGTTTACCAGAGGGTATCCCCAAACATCTTCCCATTGTTCCATGGAAAAATCCGACCTCAACGATGAACCGAGCATCCGCCGGCGCCGGAAGCAGCGCGGCCGCCACAGCGCGGCGCAGCTCCGACAGCGGCGCCGTGGCAGGGAGCCGCAGCGTCACGAGCAGCTCGCCGCTGATGGCGCCATAGGCCTCGGGGGTGGTCTGGGGGATTTATGACCAACAAGTGATGGGAAAAATGAAGGATCCCATGGAAAAATGTTATTTTATTCCATATTCTGATTGTGTTTGACTGTTATATTGACATCCAAAAAATGTGATATTTCCTGATTGTTCATTTTCACAATTCCCCCTTTTTTCTTTTCGTGGTTATATGACTTATATGATGTCATTAAATCTCTATGTGTAGTTGTTTCCATCATTAGTGTTATAAATCCATCATTAGTTTTCCATCATTAGTGTTTTACCATCATTAGTGTTATGAATCCTTATCCTTGTGGGGATACATCTACAAATTTCCGTTGACATCTCCATGAAATCCCATGAAATCTCCATGTTCTCATCACTTACCCTCTGGTAAACATACAACAAACTATGGAACATCACCATCTTTAATAGGTAAATCAACTATACATGGGCCATTTTCAATAGCTGTGTTAAATTACCAGAGGGGATTATCTCCAGTTTTCCCATGAAATCTCTATGTTTCATCATTCATAAGAACGACTATATATTATAATTGGACATGACAACAATGGGATTGTTCATGTGGTAGTATATTTGTATGTATTTATATCATTTTATATCTATTAGTAGTAACATTGTAGTATCATGACTGGATGTACTTGTGTAGCTTATGTATAAAATATATATATATATATACACGTATGTATATATATATATTTATACATATGTAGCATAATAATGGGGTGTATAAACATGTTCAGTATTGGTAGTCCATTTGGGCTAGTTACTTCTGTGAAAAGGAAACAAACCAGTGGGAAAACAGAAATCCATAGTAGGAGGATAATATTTGTGTTAAATCTGCATGTGGGACTATATGGATCTACATGATATAAATCTGGAATCATAGTAAACATGGGTGGTTCAACCATAAAATTATATGGATGCGTCCCAGGTTTTCAATCCTTGTGTCTGAAGCACACATCAATGGCCATCATGAATTCCCAAAAATCTAAACAGAATCTAAACACATGACAAACATTGAGAATAAGTTTGGGCATTTGGACGGGAGATAAGGAACAACTACAACCAACACGCGGGATATGCAAATGTATGGTGAACAAAACCATGAACGGCACAAAACCATAATGCAAACAAAACATAGATATGTTGTGTTGGGAACAAGCAAATTTGCAAGAACGGTTTGAAAACATATGAACTATATGGAACAGTGTGGAAAATTAAGATGAAATATGGGAACAAGTTGGAAATTGGGTGGATGAAAGGAAACACAATGAACAAACAGGAAAAGGCATGGGGAACAATGAACAACATTAAGACGAAAGATGGAGACTGGACATAATAAAAGAAACAAATGGGGATGAGAAATCAAAACAGTTGCAATCTATGAAACACATTGGAACAAATCATATCGGATGTGATTCAGTGGTCAATATCTATATATATATATGATATATAATATATATATGTGTATAGAAGTATGCGAATTTCAGCATGAATCAGCTGGACAAACATATATGATTCAATCCACATACATAAATAGGGATGCTCTCTTTCTACAGTTTGTGAAATTAATTTTCCACAGGATCATGGTCATATGGTTGCTATAAGTAGGGCAATGCTTGTGAAACCAACAGAACCAAGGGTTTGGGATTTGCTGTACAGCAATGCAACCAGCGTTTACATGTGATTTTTAGTGATCTTCAGATTCCAAGGCGAATGTTTAGAGAACTGTATTCGTTGATATTCGTTGTACTATACTTAGCATTACTCAACTGTTACAGTGTTTGCTGCTAGTTCACGTGATATCTCATGGCTAAAATGTGCAGATCTTTGGTTCCTCGAACAAATTGAAATAGCCTCCGGAAATCAAACGAATCGTTTTTCGAACATGCGCCATTTCAAACATCATGATTTTCCCATGATTTTCTCATTCAAAAACACAACTCCCAGTATGCATTGCCAACTCAGCTGCCGACGGAGATTTCCAAGTCTGCCATCGGAAGAAACGTTGAGACGTCCTACCCTCTGGTAAAGATACAAAAAACTATGCAACATCACCATCTTTAATAGGTAAATCATGGTGAATCAACTATAAATGGACCATTTTCAATAGCTAACTGTTAAATTACCAGAGGGTAATTAATCTGCTTGGTCTCGTCCATTGGAATTTTACTCCAGCTATGGATATATAACATGTGTTCTTTGTGTTTCTTCAAATCACCAGCCAGTCATCTGGTCATTTTGTACCATGCGTATTTCACTCCACTCCGGAAAACTGTGGTCACAACGAGAGTGAGGGGCCATCACCTGGTATCCGTATTCAACATGGTGGACCATAGGGATAATCAATAGGGCTTCTCTTGCCATCCATTTTTCAGACGCCGCTGACTTCATCTTGGGATCTTCTACCCAACATGAGATATCGATCTTTCATCCAAAACTAAGTATGTGTTGGCATCTAAGAAGAATGGATGGTTATCCTCCACCTGAACGCTACCTGTAACCCGAACATGTGAACTTGATGGTAGGGCCTTGCTTCATGCTGCACCATCCTTTAATGAAATTTGTCACTGGCCTTCATGGTCCTTCATGTGTCTTTTCATTGATCCCAAAAAGCTGCAATGAGACGCATCCAGTGACCATTCAGGTCTTGTGTTTCTGTCAACCCATCCCAAACATGTTGTATAATCAATCGATTGGGATCCCTTGAACCCAATATGTTTGAACGTCAAAACATGTTCAAACAATATCTGATTCTAGTCTGAAATCACAAACCACTTTTCGATATCCATCAAAAAAGAAATGCCTAAGAAAAACACCAGGCCTCGCCATAAAATGTGACCTTTGTATCATTTTGTATCCACTGATTTGAGGTGAACATCGGGGCCAAACTTTGGGAATCATCATAGCTGGGAGCCTCGACCACAAAAAAAAACATAAATACTGGCACTTCCAGGATCTTTAACTCCGAAATTCTTAGGGTTTTCAAGACAAAGTGGCAGTAAATTGGGTGTCGAGTCCATACTAGTCATCTTCTACTCGAGAATATCCATAATTTTTGGCTAGTCTTGTATAGATACCCTATATTTTCGCTATGATTGGCGAAGGATCAGTCCCTAGCCATCCAAGGTTGACCCACCTCCAAAAAGCTCTGATAGCACGGTGAAGAGCATTCCTCCGTCGCATGGATGAACTCCACTTTGAAATGCTGTAGTTATATCATTCCAATATATTCCAATTCTCTATAGAAAGAACTTGGAAAAGGAAAGTCATCCATTTCTCCACATGTCTTAGTTGATTTTCCCAATTAAAAAAGGATCCGCATGGATCAAGACACGGAATTTCCATAGGCTTTGCCAGATTCAGTTGTGGGTAGAGTCAACTGCCTTTGGATCAACGGAACTTCCAAGTGGAGCAAGATCTTTTTTTTCGGAAATTGACCTCTACGTTGCTTAACTTCAGAGGAGCTTGGCCAAACACCAACATCAAGTAAGGCCGAGTACAGAAATGAAATCACTGACATTGAGACTTTCCATCCGTACACAGAGTCTGCTGACCAGATCCTACAGTATTTCCTGCAACCATAGGGGATTTATTTCCCCTACCTTGGATCTTAGTGTGTTACAGAAAGTGGATCCACCAGCCTGTGCCATTGCTGTTTGCCATGGCGAGCCGCTGCGACGTCAATCGCTTTTTGTGAACGATTCGAATCCCTAGGACCTGGAGATCTTCGTCACGTTTACCACACGAGTCGTCTCCATATCTTTTTTGGGGGGTACACAATGACGTGATCCACACGGGTCATTTGGGGATCTATGTTGTCAACTGATTCATCCCTGGTCTCATTATTCTCATTCCAACCTTATAGCAGACGACCCTCCGGTAATCAAACATAGCAATGAAAAATTGTGCTGTAAACCTCCATTTACTTCGGGGATGTCCCAGCCACGTTTGATTACCGGACGGTGTTCCATTACAGTAAATATCCCATCATTGTTACCCATATATAGTTATATTAAGCCATTATTAAGCCACTATCATATGATCATATATATACGTATATACAATATATATATATATAAACTAATATATATATATAAACGAAATAGCACGTGTAAATCAGCACTTATATCTAAACAATCAATCAGGTCACGAGTCACTAGATCCTGAAAAGCTACAAAAAAACAGGGCCAGGGCTCGAGCCATGAGCTGCCAGTTCCGCGCCATGAAACATACTGGTCAAAAGCTATCCTTCTATATCCTTTTTAATGTTTTCTTTTAATGGTAATCTGATTGGTGGTTTTAACAATCTTGAAAAATATGAAAGTCAATGGGAAGGATAATCCCATATATGAAATGGAAAATAAAAAATGTTCGAAACCACCAACCAGTAATAATAATCCCCAATAACACAGGTAGTTCATAAATTCCCTTCATAATCAATCAACAACAGTGGTATTTTTAATGGCTCAGTTTGACATGTCTTGCGCTAGGAACTAGCGTGATTCAGCGGATCAGCCGCTTCCCGTTCCCCACCAACAAACACCGGTGGTCCTGGCGACGCAACTAAAGCACCACTAACCATGGGGCTGTACTTGATTAATCTTGATTAACTATGCTTCATGGGGCTTACAATCGTTTGAAATAGTTAGGTAAACATGAGGACTGTGTGACTTTCACGGTGTGATTGTTTGGAACTGTTGATCAAATCCTTATCTTCGGTATTGAGCTGTACAAATTTTGGTTGCATGCGGCAATGATTTATTGTCATGTTATTTCTACTGGTGGTGCATTGGTATGGTTCTTGGCTGCCTATCTTGCATACCATGTTTTTGCACCCATGTTTCTGAGCTACATCACATAACATCCAAATATCTCCAGTCCAAGGCTGTTTGGTTGTTGCACTTACCTTAAGTCTTCATCTCCTGCAGCTATCCAGTCTAAGTCGAACCATACCACAAACAACTAATATGCCATACAGTACA